GAGTTAGTAACTATTATTAGAGAAAATACGGTGGTTACAATTACGGTGGTTTTGGCTGAAATGGATTAATTGAGAGAAATCCATTCTAAAATGGAGTTTTTCATAGATACATGAACATATTATACTTTGTGATCTCATTGAAACTACGGTACTTTTCTACTTAAAGTACACAAAAAGCTTTTCGGAAGAAGAAGAAAAAGTGACAAATTTGCCCAAACGCGTAGAACTTAATTATCGTTGGCTTTCTGGAAATAAGTAAATGGAAATGTTTTCAAAGAAGAAAATGAGGGGGAAATTAAGGTAAAAGCTCAGGATAAAAGTTGTGATAAAGCAGAAAGAAAGAAAAAGTTAAACGTTAAATGCTAAACTGAAAAGCTAGTATCGAAAAAGGTTGTAAAGGTTTAGTCGGCTTTCTCATTACAGTAATCAAAGTCTTATCAGTTTGATTACTGTAATGAGACAGCCGACTAGACCTTTACAACCTTTTGGATACTAGTTTTTCAGAGTAACGAAGCTTTTATATCCAAAAATTGATGGATATTTATTAGTTAACTTGAAGAGTTTTAAATATATTCATTTTGTTGAATTTGGAAATAAACGAAAAACTTTTCGTTCTCGGATCAATCGGATCGTTCTCGGATCTCGGATTGAAAATTTAGAAGGTTGTTTTTTAATTTTACAACCGCCCATAGAGGAATCTTTGAGTCGATCACATATCCACAATAAATTGTAAACAATTACAATTATTGTAAACAATTAAAATAAAATTCTAATTTCAAAGTATGTTATCGAGTAACGAAGCTTTTCTATCCAAAGAAGGTTTTTTTAATTTTACAATAATAAAACTCTACTTTCAAAGTATTCAGTTATTTAATTGAAAAAATAAAATAAAATATAAAGTTTTTCGTTAATTATGTTATCGAGTAACGAAGCTTTTAAAGATTATATCCAAAAATGAAATCCAAAATGAAATCCTTCCAAAATCGGCTTGAAAATCTCGAAAATCTCGAAAATCTTCATGATTTTATAGTGCAAAGTCGAGCCAAGTTCGTCGGTGGAATGGAATGGGAAATTTTTGTGAAAATTTCAAAAATTCCATGTACTTATTGATATTGTTTTTCGAAAAATTGAAAAATTTGAAATGAAATGTCTCATTATTCGCAATTTACTAATGAAAAAAAGTTGCTTTTCGATAAAATTATGTACAATAAATGACAGTAAATCTGGGCTTAAGAGCATTTAGAAATGTGGGAACCAATTATAAAATTGCTTGGATAATGAAAAAGTATCTCGACGAGCACAACGGCTGATTAAATTTTGATTCTATTCCTTTAACTATATTATTTTGAAACATTGAGTTTTCTACTCGTAGAAATGAGAAATTTTTTAATCTTTTGGCTTTTAAAACTAAAGGATTATTTTTTTAAGCTAGTTTTTTGATAATTTCAATAAATCTTTTATCGGAAATGATTGGTTTCTTTGGAATTTTGATTGTTTAAGCATTTGAAAAGGAAACTTGATCAACTTTGGGTTGATCAACTTGAGAGAAAGGTTTGGGGTAATTTTGGAAAAGTTTTTTTACACTGAAAGCTACCGTAACTCTAGGAAATGTCTGGAATTGAGAGAAATCTTTCAAATCTTTCAAAAAGAAATCCCTTTTTGCAAACGTTCTTCTAGTTTCAAAAAATGGGAAATACACAGGAAAATAGAGGAAAGAAATCCCAAGAGATTTACCCTTTCAACCAATTTTTCCTCGATGATATCACTTGGGGGAAAAGTGGTTTTGGAAAAGAAAAGATTTATCTTTCTACAGGAATTCTTTGAAACATGCAAGGTTTGAAAGGGATTTAAAGATGAAACTAGAAGAACGATTTTATAAGATTAGAAAGATTCGACACTTTGCATTTAGATCAATTTAGATGCATTTAGATCAATTAAGATCAATGCATTTAGATCAATTAAATGAGAATTGAAATGAATCAAATGAATAGCTCGAATCGATTCGGGTCGAGATACACAGCTGAATATCTTTTTGCGCAATCTACAAAGAAAAAGGAAGGAAATCTCAATGAAAAAATGAAAAATCGATTGCCTAAAAGCTTTTCGTTCTTTTTAAAAAGAGTTCTTTTGAAAAGAGTTCTTTTTAACAAGAGTTCTTTTTAAAAGAGTTCTTTTTAAAAGAGTTCTTTAACACATTGACGACAATCCGGTCCGCCGGTGGACCGAACCAATAACGATACCGAACTAATAACGATGATTTTTCATGTGAACACAAGTTTTCAAGAAACTTTTGTTATTTATTTCGTAGAAATCTCTCGCTAACTTTATACTCGTTTTGAAGAGGAGATTCAGGGCTATCGAATGAGCTATAATAGTCTAGTCTATCTTTGAATCTTCACCAAATTATCAGTAAAACAGTTAACGACTACGCGACTGTACACTCAAAATCCCGTCGTCGTGAATGTGTTAAAAAGTGATTAAAACTCATTTCACAGATTTTTATTTAAAAAATTTGAAACTTTGAATTTTTCAGAAGTACATAGGCTTAAAATTTGAATAATTTTGAAACTAATGAAATAAAAATACCAATAAAACAAAATAAAATAAAAGATACGAGGTAAAGCAGTCAGTCAATGTCTAAAAAGTGACTCTAAAAAGACTCTAAATGACTCTAAATGACTCTGACTCTAAAAAGTGAACAGTCTAACAGAACAGCCAAAAAGGAACTAAAAGCTTTTCGTTATTTCCTCTTTTTCAGTCTCCTTTTGACCTTCCCTTCTCCTTTCTCTGCCTTCAAATCTTCATTTCTTGAAGTCTTTTTTTGAAACGCGAAACTTTTCCTCATTTCTCTCGAAATTTTGCCACTTTATAGCACCTTTTTTCATTAATTTTTGTCGTTTTTTGTTTTAAACGAAATTTTCTGTCAGATTTTCGAGATTAAGAGACCAAAGAAAGGTTTTCAGTGAAAGTTGACTTTCAAAAGGATTCAAGAAATGAAATTTAAAGAATTGAAGAAGTTTGTAGCTTTCAAATGCTATAAACCCAAGTTCTAATTGGTAGACGAAACAAAATGAGTACCGCCAATCGATTCGCCGATCCCGAAAACCCCTGGGTGCAAATTTACAGCTGAATAGCTTCTTTTTGCGTCATCTAAAAAGCAAAAGAGAAATCCCTCTGTAAATGACTCCGATGTGTTCTCTGTGAGCTCTCCGTAATCGCTCTCCATCTGGCATAGGGCTCTGGTATCAGGGGCTTTCCTTTTGGAGCCGTTGAAGGAGAAGGAGTGGTAAGCCACTGAGCCAGCCACGCCGCCTTGGGCATCAATGTGCCGAATTCCCTCGGAGGAAGTTTTACAGAAATTTGACTATATTTTGATACAAATTCTGCTTCTTTTTAAAGCAAAACTAAGTTGGATACGGAAGGCTGGAAGGCAAGGCAAGGCTGAAACTGATTTGAAAAGCTAATCCGATCTTTTAATACCCTTAAACCACAAGTTTCCATTTCCAGAAGAATCAAAGATTTGTGTGCGTTTGTGGCCAAATTTGTATTAGAGAAATTCGATAGCTTCTTTGAGAAAAATCTTTTTAAAGATAGAAAAAAGGCCAAGGTTAACCATGATCTTCCCTTAACCGCATTTCCTTTTAGATTTTCATTTTTAGAATCTTTAGTAAAAGATTCTCTAAGAGAATTTGACTGGGATCATGGCTAAAATTGGATTTTTGCGGATGTGTTTCATTTTGTACAGACTTTACGTCTTTACAGCTTTACGTAATGAATTTAGAAACAAAAAAAAATTGGCAATAATCTAACCAAATAAAAAAAAATGGTTTTAAAAGTTCTACAAAAATAAACGTAAAGTATTCAGGTCATCTTTTGCAACAGAAAGGCAAACATAGTCAGAGAACGATTACGATATCTTTCTCAAAACGTTCATCTTTTAGAAAACGGTTTAAGCCCAGAGAAAGCCGAGAAAGCCTCTAGTCTAGTTTAGTTCCTGATAGTTTGAAATTTGCAGATTTTTAAAAATCCCAATTCTTCTACGACTTCTCTCCATTCTACACGTCATTCTCGTGGTGCAGAGAACGTGCAACGTCTGAAAAAAAAGAGTTGAAAAAAAATGCAAGTTTCAATGTTTATCTCTTCTTTTCCACTTTCAAGAGTTCTCTCTAGGGATTTCACCCACCCCCACAGTCGTTTTTTAGTCTAAACTCCAACCTTTAGTCATTCAACCAATCCTATTCAATGAAGCGATTTGAAAAGTAACGTCACTTTTTGAGAAAAGCAAAAATGTGCAAGCTTACGTATAGCTGCGGTGAAATTGACGCGTTTTTGGGTGCGATTTCCGGCGGAGATTTTTTTTGGGCACTTCTGAGATGAAAGAATTTTGTCTATTTTTGGATATGGGACCCGCACTCGATTTGGGGAAATTATGGATTTGAAATGGGAAAACAATGTTTTGAGGGGTTAAGAGTGGATTTTTCATAATCCGTTTTCGAAAAGGTACCCACCAGTTTTCCCTTTGATCAGTCCAATTTTGGTCACATTCGAAAGAGGAAATGCACAAAGCTCAGTGAATGATATCAAAATTGGGCTGATCGAAAGGAAAACTGGCGGTTGGACTCTCTGAAACGGATAAGCGAGAAGAGCTCAGTGGAGTGTTTAAAATGTTTTCTAAAAGGTGTCCTTGGGAAAAGCTATCGTAGTGTTTGATGGTTTTGAGTGACAAATACTAGACTTGACTATAGAGATCCAACGAGAGATTATCGATATTGATAACCAAGTCGAACAGGCACTCGAAAATATACGAAAACAAAAATTTGTTTCATTGTGACAAATTTGAATGTCTGGCGTAAAAAGTGTCGGGAAACGAAAAATTTGCATTTATCGGTTAAATAAAAGAAAACGGGGAAAAAGTTTAAAAGAAAACCTTTCCTGAAAAAGTCATCATATTCTTTCACTACATCGATTCATAGTTGGAATCACTCAAGAATCTTCCGATCATGGTACGTTTACCCTTTTTGAGGTTGAATTTCTTATTTTTGGTTCATTTGGGTGCTTTGGAGTTTGTCAGGTTGTTGTTTTTGGGGTCCCTGAAAACTTTTGTTTTCAGGGAATCCAGCTACTCCTCGTTGGTGTCCTTTGCTCATTTTGCTAATTTTTTTATCTTAAGTCTAATTTAGTAGAATCTAAAGGAATTGATAAGTTTATGAGTAAGTAGCATTAGATTTTGCCGAATATTCTAAAACTTTAAGCGCTTAAAGTGGAAATCCGCATAGCCGTTTCTAACATTGAATGCTAAACTTTTAAACTTGTTTTCTTTAGAAAATTCAGCTACTCCTCGTTGGTGTCCTTTGCTGGATCGCAAGCGTTACAGCTAAGTGCAAGCTTCGCCCTTTTGGATGCTATGTCTGGGATTGGGAAGAAGCAGCAAATACCGGCGCTGAAAAACACGCATTTCTCACGAAGGATTGGCACGACAAAAATGTGGGTTTCATATTTATTTATGTCTATTTCATGTCTTTTTGCATTATTGTATTTTAGTGTAAAGAGCCACCAGCGTGTACAAAAGCATGTTCTCTCAACAAAAAGACATTCGACAAAAGTGATCTTGAGGGAAAGGGAATTCAAGTCGCTTGCAAAATTTCCGACTTGTTTTGTGTAAGTTTTTCTAACCTTATTGCCAGATGATTTTAATTTAGGATGACGCGAAAGCAAAGAAGGACAATTGCATCGCATCACGTGAAGTCGAGATAAGCTTCCCTCCACCTCCCGCTTCCAATCCAAATGCTACCACTCGTCGTCGTGAAGAGGAATCACAGGGCTTTGAAGGTGACGTTTTTTAAGCTTTCTCGTGTTATCACTAGAGTCATGTTGCTTTTGAAAAATGTCTATTAAAATGACTTTAATACCTTTTACTTTAGATCTGTTCAACATTCGTGTTCGACGCAATGAGATGCCGACAACTTTGCAACCAAAAGCTTCCCAAAAAATCAAGGCACGGGATTTTTGAAGATTTCATTGTTGAAGTATTCGAAAAAAACCTAATGTTTTTATTTTAGGCTATCGTTCTGCCTGTTTGTCTTATCGGTGACGCCTTGGACTGCAAGAAGTATTCTGGTAGCGCTGGTGCAATCTGCAAGTCCGATCAACTCAACGATGGCGCTCTAAATTTCAAGGACCAAAAATTCTGCACCGTGCTCGAATCTGCATTGGGCGGCGAATATCCAGAGTTAGTTTATGATTGTGTTTTGCTAATTCTCTTATTGTGTTTAGGAGTGTTATACATGACACTGTCCAATACGCGAAGGTGTCAAACATCTGGAAGAGCACCGGCTTACCATATGCGTTGGTTACCTCAGACAAGGCTAACTTTTTGCCCGGAGAAAGCAAGGACGGAAAGGTTTGTAGCTTACATTCTTATTATTATCCTTGTGTGTATGTTTGTCACCAGCTCATGATTAGTTTTCAGGCATGCTCGACTTATGCAGCAAGAGATTGTCGCCCAAGGCCACTTTGCGAAGGAGACAGTCAGAAAGTGATGTGGAAGGGCAACAAATACTCGCTTGAGAAATTTGGTCCGACAGAATGTGAAACAGCTTGCACGAATGCCAATCAAGATCTTTGGCTGTGAGTTCTTTAATATTTTGAAAGATTATTGGTTTTTGTTAGGGAGGCTACCGGTGAAGAGACAAGTTTGAAGTGCCGTGTGCTGGACATTGAGGGATTTCCGTTGCACCGAAGAGGACGAAAGCCCATGGCTAAGTTCATGGATGCCAAGGATAATCTCAACAGGACCAAGTTGTTTCAAAGTGAGTAGTGTATTGTGTGCATTTAATATTTTTTGATGTTAGAAGCAGCCGCAAGTCGGGGCATTACTGATGGGGACATTACTGCTTCTTACCCTCTTCCCATCGATTACTCATCCATTAAGGTAAACTTTTTTGCAGGACGTAACTTAATGTTTTATTTAGGATGAAGCTATGAAGAAGCAAGTGGAGGCAAACCTTTGGCTCAACAAGAAAACAAATCCCTTCGCGAAGAAATATGGCAGCCACATCAAAACACTCGATGTTCCCGATTGTGGAGAAGACGACCCGGACACTAAGGTAAAGTAGTATTTCTTATAGACATAAAGTTTTTTTCTAGATATGCAACAAGAAAGAAGGGCAAGAAAAGAGGGACAACAAAGATTTGGCCATCGCCCTCGTCATCATTCTACTCCTCATCATCTGCTGTTGTTTGATGGTCAGCGGCATCGCTATAGCTGTCTAGTGAGTTTTGAGCATAATTGTTCTAAAATTTTCGAGTACAACTTCAATATACTTGCTTTAGTTGCATTATCAAGAAGAAGAAGGCCAAGAAGGCGGCAGCCGCTGGAACGGGAGGAGCAACAGCTGGTGGAGAAGCTGAAGACTGAGAAGTGAGTTTTTCGGACATTGATCTGCTTATCTTAATCTTGTAGGACTTTGACAGATTTGGCTTCTTTAGGGGAAATGGGCAATGGATGTGCCGCAAACGGGACAAACGGGCGTCTAAATAAACTCTGTTTGAATAAACGTTGTGTAAAAGCTTTGTTTCAAATTGCATTTGATTTACTCGCTTAAAGTTTAAAGATTGATTTGAGAGATCTTGTTGCAGTGCGAAAATTTTGGAATGCGCAGATCTTAGAATATAGGTATTTGAGATAAACTTGTCCGATTTTTTAACTTGAGCCTGAGACTGAAAAATTCGATTGTGTAATTGCAAACCTGATGGTGCTGAAAATTCTCTGAAAATCCCTTTTAAAGGGGCAGGCCACTTCATACGGCGCTGTGGCGTTGATTGGAAAAGTTTGAGTTCAGATTGGCAAAGTACATATTTCTGAGGTCAGATCCACCAACCTTTAGAGGCGTCTCTCATCCCAAGTCTCATATTTTATTGCTTTTTCGAGATTTTGAGATTCGAGAGTGCAATGTTTTTTGTGATTTAAGAAATTTCGTGAAGAAATCGGTCAAGCGTGAGAAGGCGTGCAACGATCGCTTGAGCTGTAAAACTACCATCTAACTGCAGTATACTGATGTGAAAAGCATTCACAAAGTGATTTTCTTTGTGCTTTTCGTGCAATTTTACATTTGCTTAAACTTATAAATGTTAAATTATTTTTTTTTAATTTTCAAGTTCAAGCCCAAAGGTAAACTCAAGAAGCGCATTTTGCGGGGTGAGTTCAAAAACCACAACATTGCTAACTGTCTACACGTTGATCTCGGAAGGGCTTTCTTTTAAGAAGGGTGGGCACTTTTTTTAACCACTGATATCTTTTAATACGAGCTCACCATTACAATCGCCAGTCAAAGTTTTGTGTATCGAAATCTTTATCATTTTCTTTCCTTTTTCTTGTTTCATGCACCTCTGTGAATATTTTATTCGAATCAAACACAGAAACCACAAGTACAGTTCTAGAAGTATTGCTTCTCGAGGAAGGCCGTCTCCGAGAGTAACGTCTCCTCTGACGTCTGTGCTGTGTTTTCGCTTCTGATATCGGCGAGCCTCGTTCACCTAAACGAAAAGATATAGGTATTTTAAAAAAACTAAATAGAACATTACCTAGGTATGTTAATCAGGATAAAGGTACGCATCTGTAACTCAGGATCCAAGTAGCCTAAGCAGCTTAAAAGCCTATGAATCGAGTCCCCCGTGTACTTGGTATACCACGAAAACTGTGAGTCTATAATCTACGACTATCTTTGATCCTTGAATACTAACACGAAGTTTTTCCATGATACTACAATATGCGACAATGATTTTGAAGTACTAGGGTGCTGGAGAAAGACTGTTGCCATTGACATAGTACAAAGAAAGCAACCAACTAGCGTCGTCAAGTATAAATAGTCGGGCGTTTCGACGAGTCCGAGCGAGCATGTTTTAGATCCGAAGTATCTAAAACTTTAACATGTTGAATGCATAGATAGATTACACTTAACTCCAGGTAAACCATCAAAAGCCCATACCTTGTAGAACCTTGTAGAATCTTGCAGAACTACGATGGGCAATTGGCCAAGCAGTGTTGCGCCTAAATTCCCCAATAAGAGTAATAAAGACAAAAGCATGCCATGGAAATCTCTGATTTCATCAACATTCGAATGTCGGCCTAAAAGAAACGAGTAAAATAGATTTAAATCTTGAACGGGTCAGCAAAAATTAAAACTTGACGTACCTGTGAATCGTGATTCGTCGTGACACCGTTGTTGATGATGCGGGCGTTGTGTAGTGTGCGGATTAACATCGTTGTTGACATCCTGGAAAGAAGAACAATTAAAGTTAATTAAGTACACAAATAAATGGTCTCCCAGCAAGTTTATGCAAAAAGTGGATCAACCTTAGACTAATCCAATGCAGAAGTTAACCAACTTTAGAATAGTCTAATGCTAACGTAAGACTTTTTAAAAACCCCACCGCAGTAAGGCGATTTATGATGTTGCACTCCTAGAAGAGATTTCCCGACATGCCGCTGGAGATGGTCATCTTCAGCACGTTGATGGATGGATCACGGAGATGGTGATCACGTTGTTCTTCGTGTGTTCCACTAGCATCACCACGCCGTTTGAGCCTGGAAAAGGAGCAAAATCATTTAGCCGAATAAAATTGTTGAACCAGAATAAACCAGAATAAAATTGTTGTAAGCAAATTATTCTAAAGGCAAACCGACCATTTCCAATCGCCTTTTGCAGCTGCCATCCCTCGATGATCTTCTGGTGGAGGAGGTGCTTGGTGAGGTCGTTGATTTGTTGATTCTCCGTCACCAGCTCCGAGATCTCGGAGATCCTGCAAAAAGAAAGGATTATTCAATGGAAAACTGTGATTTTTCAAGCCGAATAATCAAATCTCAAAAGAAAATCAGTTTGTGAATTTGCTTTTCACACCAGTATACTGCAGTTAGATGGTAGTATGGCAACGGTTTCTTTGAACTTTTGAGCTTTTATACGGGGTAGGCTACTTTGCGCGAATTTTTTTGCGCAACCGGGTCATTGGCGCAACTAGGTCTTTTGCCCAACTTGCCATAACTTTCTTCTAAGTGGGCCAATCTTTATGATTTTGGTTTCATTTTGTATATCTCAATAAGTGCAACAAAATGACACAAAAATCATAAAGATTGGCCGACTTAGAAGAAAGTTATGGAGAGTTGCGCAAAAAATTTGGCGTAAAATAGCCTATCCCCTTTTATAATTTGTCAGAAAGTTCTTCAAACTAGACATTTTCTATTGCTTACATCATGGAAAAATTGCAGTTTGCACTTTTCTGACCGTGTGATGTGCCCACAATCAGGGGATGACTCAAGGTTTTAAAGGCGAAATAGCACGAATCACAAATATCAACACGAGAAAACGGAAGAATCATAAATAGAGTGCGTTTTTTTAAAAATGCACACATTTTGGTTAAAACTACCGCAATCCACCAGCCAGTTTTCCTTTTGATGAGTCCAATTTTGGTATCATTCGATGAGGGAATCACAAAGCTCAATCAATGATTTCAAAAATGCGCTGATCGAAGGAAAACTGGCGGGTGGACTAAGGTAATTTCGGCTAAAATGGGTGCATCTTAGATTAGCCGAAGAACACACTAAAAATGGCCATTGTCATTTATTTGAAGGGTCGAAAGTTGAAATAAGTCTTTTTCGGGGTAGGCTAGTTTCCGCAACTTTTTTTGCGCAACAGGGTCATTTGCGCAACAGGGTCATTTGCGCAACTGGGTCGTTTGCGCAACTCACCATAACTTTCTTCTAAGTGGGCTAATCTTTATGATTTTTATTTCATTTTGTTGCACTTATTGAGATCTACAAAATGAAACCAAAATCATAAAGATTGGCCCACTTAGAAGAAAGTTATGACAAGTTGCGCAAAAGACCTAGTTGCGCCAATGACCCAGTTGCGCAAAAAAAGTTGCGGAAACTAGCCTACCCCTCTTTTTCAAATCAAAAACCCGATTTCCGAAATCAGAAATCAGAAATCACAAAAGTGTGGGGATTTCAAATTTTAAAAGTAAAATAAAATTTTTAAATAGAAGCAATAAACTTTTGTCAAAAAATTTATTCTTATAGTTTAGTTTTTAAATTTCCGCGACACTGCGTAACTAAAGACGAAAATTGTCGTTTGAAGGCCCGAAAGTTGAAACAAGCTTTTTTCTTAGATCAAAGACAATTTCGGATCACATCATTTTCTTCACCATTTCGCCAATTCCTCAAATCAAACGTCTAAAATCGTATAAGCAAACTTTTCGAGTCAACTTCTTCGAGGTAAAGTGCCCACAAAGTCCACCCAGGTCACACATTTCTCTCCATTTCCCTCGCCATTTTCTATTTGCCAATTTTCGTGCCACCACTCAAAGTGCCCCAAAATCGGCACCAAAAGCGATTTCTTCTCGAAATCGACGTGTGAATGAAAACTTTTTGAATTTCACTTTACTTAAAATTGTGATTTTTTCAAGTATAGCTATCTGAGAGAAGTCGAAAGTTGAAACAAGACTTTTTCAAAACAAAAACCCGATTTCTAAAGCCTGTTCCTTTTCGATTTCAAGCTAGTTACTTTTAAACTTACTTTCAACTTTCAACTTTCTTTCTGAACTTTCAACTGGTACAACAAGCTCAAAAACAAGATTTTATGGTACAAATGATACCGTGAAACCTCGTGAGATTACGTCTAAATTTATGTCTGAAATTTTGCAGCCAGAGCTGTTTTAACTGTACTTATTGATCCAACAATCGTAACCCTTACATTGTTTGCCAGAATACGATAGATAGACTTTTGTATAACTTTGGTAATCTTTAGGAAAGTACAAAAGTTTCGTACTGGCTTAGAAAAGAAAGAAAAGTTTCAAACGAAAGCGGCGCTTTAAGCTAAAGGAGTTCAAGATCTCTGTTTTACAGCATTTTTGAGCAATTTCTCTCAAATTTCCCAATTCATAGTGTCAAATTACATCTATTTTAGGCTATTTTCTTTAAATTTCTTTCCAAAACACTTGATCGAGCAACGATTTTTCGAGTCAAAAACTCAAAGAAAAGAAAAGAAAAGAAAAAAACTTGAGTTTCCTATTTCTCGAAATACTGTATCCCTTTTTGCGAAGGCAATTTCTGTGGAAAGGTAAAGTAAACAAATTTCTTTTCACCGAAGAAAGTCGAGAAATTTCGCTGAACTCCATCCCCGAAATGCCCAATGCAAACTTCGAAAGCAATTTCGATCATTTCAAACAATTTCGACACCTTGTTTTTATCTTCTATCTTCTTTTGTTCGGCTTACTGTCAGTTTGAAGTTTTTTAAATTAAATTACTCAATTTATGAATATGATTGCGTTCGTTTCGGCTAATTTCTTTCCTAAAGGGTATCCTTTTTGTTAGCGAAATTCCCGTCAACAAACACGTCAGTTTTCCTTTCGACCATCGATTCTACGATCATTAACAGACGGTGATTTACCTTCTATTTTGAAACATGCATATTATTTTGAAAATCTCATCGCTTTTTTAGCTCTTCTAATAGATAAATACGTGTTTAGAGTCTTTTCTTCTCCTCTAATCTGTTTTCTAATGCGTATCTCCTTTCTACCGTAATCTTGTCTCTATTTTTTTATCAAATCCATTCACTTTTTGTATCTTTCGATCCTTAATGAACCTGCACAGAATCAGAAAAAAATTAGATAGATTGGGGGTGGGACAAATGCAACTTTTTTCCCACCCCCGATAGATTGAATTAAAAATAGAGACAAGATTACGGTAGAAAAGGGACACGGTTTAGGAAAAACGGATTAGGAAAAAGGATCTAATAAAGTTTACATTAAGTAATCTATAAAGTTTAAGATCAAACAAAGTGTGAGTACTGGTGGAATTGTTGGTGGGGCGAATCTTTGCTGACAAACAAACTCGGCGCAAACATTTGGGCTTGAAAAGAAGACGCTAAAAGAAAGAAAGAAAGAGAGAGAGAGAAAATTTCTGATATGATCCTTTCTCTCTGACTCTTTCCGAAACATAAAGAATCAGAAGTTTGGAGGGAAAAAAAAGCTGTAATCTTTTTTTCTATTTGATTGGCATTATTTGTAAGATTTTCCAGCTTACGTTCATTATTTTAACCATTTTTTTAGCAACAATTTTAAATTTGATTTAAAATTTCGATTTAATTGAAGTTCTTGAAGTTTCTTGAATTTGTAAAGAATAATATTGATTTTCCTTTTGCATTACGCTAATTTTGAAACTTTCACTTTTCAATCAGAATTTTTGTTTTTGTTTGGCTTTAAACAGGCTTTGTTTGGCTTTCTTAAAATTCTAATCACAAAATTATATTCAACTGAGTGAAAAAAAGGTATTAAAATGTTTAAAAAAACCTTTTTTAACCTCGTCAATCTTTCATAAATCTTTAATTTGATAAAAAAGCCGTCCAATTCAAATTTAAACTTCCACCGTAAATACTGTAATAGTACCTTTTTAGTACCGTAAATACTGTAATAGTACCCCCATAATGACGGTGCGGAGCGTTGCGTAGTCTAGCATTGGACGCGTTTTTCTCGACACTGGTTTATGCTACAATGCGCGCTTAAATATCAAAAAATAGCTGAAATTCAGGGCTATTTTTTGATACCAAAGACGCTTTTTTTGAAAGAACGGGTGCTTTGAAAAAAAATGAAATACTAAAAAACATTTGCGACTACGCGACTGTACGAGGGAGGTGGGGCACTATTACAGTATTTACGGCAAGTTCAAACCTTTTTAACTCAAAATATTATTGGCTACATAAATTACCCCGTCAAAAACCATCTAAACTTGCAAATTTTGAAAAGCTCATTTTTTAGGTCTAACCAAAATTGCTTAGTTCAGTTGGAATCTATAAATGTGCCGATTTACAAACATTCACGGCACAGGTTTAAACGAAGATCGAAAATGTGTCTGACCAACCACACCTAAATCCAATTGAAACCAAAACCTTGTACCTATTGACCACAATTTTGAAACATTCATTTTTACTACCAATCATTTTCAAATTTCAATTTGAAACACAACATTCTATTTTCAATTTTTCTTTCCAGACTTTTCTTTGCAAAACCTTGCAAAACCTTCATCAATCACGGAAACCACTTTGTAAAGTTTCTAAGCAACGTCTGAAAGGATTATTACGTAGTTTTCCAAAGTATCTACTCGTTAGAAAGCGGATAACTCGCGAGGAACACGGGAAATTCATAATTTTATCCATTTTTCTAGAGAATGTCAAGGACTCACCGTGACCTCTCAGAAAGAAAAACGGATTCGAAATCAGCGTAGTCGATTCTATACGATGGATTTGATCTCGTTCTGTTTGATCGATCGATCTTTGACTCAGCTAGTCCTGATTCTTCCGCTAAAACGATTTCTGACCTTAAAAATTTTGAAACACTCATTTCCAAACCAAAAAAAATTCTCTGATTTCTGTCTGATGTTGGTGTTCGTCGTTAGAAAAAAGGAAAAAAAGGGAAAATTTTGCCATAGCACTCATAAAAATCGTGTCTCAAGCTGTTCTCCCCTTCACAAAGTCTCTTATCGTTTTCAAAAAGGGGAAAAAGTGAAGTGAAAGAATTCAGAAAGATTGAACCGAACCAAGGAGAAAGCGATCGGAATTGACTCTGGGGAATGCACACACACGGGAATGCACGTGTGTGTCACCACAAAGTCTTTGGCTTTATCTGAGCAACTCCAATTTTGTGATCAATAATTTTGAAACACTCAAAATTTCATTGGTTTTTTTTCATTGGTCTTTTTCGATGTTTTACAGAATTTTTTAAAACTACGATTTGTTTAATTTCTATATTCTATTTCTAATCAAGTCACGGTTTTTTTTTTCTTTATTTAATCTCTCTTTTACAAAACTTTGATTTTGATAGGAATTAGAGACATTAAGAGAGCCTTGCTAAGCTAATTACTAGCCTAAGCTTGAAACTAAAACTTTTATACTTGAATGGACTAGAAGTTGATAGTTTTTAGAGATTTCATCAATCTTTTTTTGCCAAGAGCTATTAAAAAAGCCTTTGGACAAGCCTTACCCAAGCTAAACTTGAACTGAAACTTTAGACACTATCATTGCCATCAATGGAATATTTTCCACACTTCTCAGAGTCTCTTTCAAGTCTGTTTCAAGTTTTTATGAGTAAAAAAATAAATGAGGCGCTTAATCAATCCAATTGCCTTTCTAGAAATTGAGGTTTCTAAAAAAGACAATGCATGCTTGTTTTGTTTTGCCTGACTTAAACGGGTGTCTCGAAAA